TAAAAAAGCATGATATGAACTACATTTTGACAAATTATTAAAAAAATCTATGGATTTTAATTTAGACCCCCAATCTACCTTAATGAATATGGTTTTTAGTATACAGTAATTCCATTATATTTGTATTTTTTTTTAAAAGTTTAGCGATTGGCGGGGAAATTGTTGTCCCAGGAAATAGACAATTGCTTTGAAAATGAACATTCTTCACAAGTGTTAGCCTTGTTCACTTCCCACAAGAAAACATTTACTTTTATCTAAATATGTATTTTGTTGGAAACATTGAAATTACGGTAATCGATGTTAAAAACATGTCAGCACGATAAAACACATTTAAATTTAAACTATTTCGAAATAGTTGTCGGCACATCATTGTCTTGTATGTAAAAAAAAAAAAAGGTTAATTGGAAGATAAAGCATGAATATAGAATATATGAGAACAAGAAATGTGTGGTTATATTTTTTTTTTGCACTAAGCAAAGTTTTTAAGACAATATAAATGCAGAATTTAAGAAATGTAACGTTGATGAACTCTTCAATAGAAACTTTGTAGAAAGATGATTACGCAACTGCATTTACAGCGTTTTCATTCGACTATTAGTATTATAAATAAAATAATGTAAAATTTCTTTAATGATATTTTAATGATATGAAATTTTACTGTTAATATGTTAGACGAGTCAGTATTCGCTCTTATTTCTAATTATTGTATTGCTAATGAAGCGAAAGATGTAATACTGCAACTAGTAAATGCACGGTTATATTAGCAGCTAGTCCAATAAGATATGATATTTTTCAAGCTTTGAAATTCTTTTCAAGAAATTTGAAATAGTCCTTTTATTCCATTTCTTAATATGTATCGATTGTGCCGCATTCCCTATTGTGACGTGATGATTTTTTTCTTATCCTACTTTGCATGGCAAAAAATACAAGCATGTCTTCCTAAGGTTTTTTTTTTTCTGTAAACAAATCCGGAAATTACTCAAATCCTCCGGATTTTTTGTTTGTCTTTGTGGTGTTTTTATTAACTTTACAAATTTGAAAGAAAGCATCTCTAAAGACACAAAGTTTTTCATAAATTAAATTATGAGATAGTATTGGTTTGAATTTTTTTTTTATCACATCCATGTTTTTGTAATGTAAATAGTTTGGTAAGTGTGTTGCTAGTCAAAAAATGGTGTTGTCAAAACAGTTTTGTAGTTTGCCCATAAAACAAATAGTTTTAAAGCCCTCAGAAAATGAACAAGACAACACAAACAATTCTAATTACTTATATCTGACTTAACACCTACTTGTTTATATCTGAAAAAATATTATTTGATACCTGTAGTTTTCTTTTTAATTTTCTGTATAACGTCTCCTTTATTTGGAAGACAGCGTTTGGTTTTCTGTATCCTCCATCCTATTAAGGTATGAATTGAAGTCATAAGTGAGGAATATTGAAATAAGTAATGGGGTTGCATATAGAAAGCAAATACTTAATATTTGGTTCGTTATTTTAGCTGGACTACTACATTGATAGCGTTTTTTTTTATTTCGTTCAGGTTTTTTTTCCTGTCTTCTACATGTTCATTTTTTAGCAGTACTCCAACACTAATTATGCTTTAGACGTTGACTCCATGTATCTAAACACCTTTCATTTTGACGGTTCATGATAGCATTACTATTACTATTATTGTCATAATTATGATTGTCATAATTATGATAATTATTATCAAGATGGATTGTTCTCATCTTGCGAATTATTCATTCGAATCGAGTTCATGTGCAAGTAATCGATCGTGCGTTGAGTATTGTAATACTCAAGTAGTATGCATAGCAAAATTCTAATGAAATGTATCAGAAATATCAGAAAAAAATATGTACTATTTAACAAAACATTATCAACTTACGATTGCTTGTCAGTGCATCATGTGCATTACAATAAATTATTTAGAGCGTTCTAAAACTTGTAATTGGCTATATACAAATTTCAAGCATTGACCCTCTAAAATCTTTCTAAGCTATTTCCTTGTGATTAACGAATACGTATCTCTTTCATCATTTAAACTTTAGTATTTTGGAATGGACAGTTCTTCGACAACCTTCCTTATCCATTTGAACTTGACTTATCATCTACTAGGCGTGTTGGAACCTATTGTTGAGAAGTATTTTGTATGTTGGTTGCCTTCTTAAATTTGCTGTTTTACAATTCTGGAAACCATTTTTTTTTTCAGAACTTCTCAAGTACGTTTAAACGCCTTATTTTGTTGTGTAGTCGAATAAGCAATTGAATGGCTATATTTGAGTCGTTTAGGTGTCCGGTCAATACCTCTGATCTCAAGCAGGATGGCTAATATTCACCTACATCTTTCCTACGATGATGTTGATGACAAAATAGTTCCGGTACCGTGCGGTGTAGGCTGAATGTTAAATTCGCATACTATACAAACAAAGGAAACATATTTTTGCATTTTGTGCAAAAGAAGGCTACTCACAGGATAAAAACATATATCGGAACTAAACAGCGCCGGCAATATAATACCAGGGAACGTGATATGAATCCGTATAAGACAAATATCCTCCAGGGACCAAATGACGTAGATTTTAGTAACTATAGGTTACCGAACGACCTTTTACAACGAACAGAACCCACCAGCATAGCAAGCTAAAAATTGCCCTGATGTATCAAAATTCAAAACAATTTAAACGAGAAAACCAACATTCTGATTTATGTACAAAATAACAATCGAAAAACAAATACGATATACTGCAAAAACAATAACCTCTGAATTACAGGATCCTGAATTGGTAAAGCAACATATCGAATGTTGAGGAGATACACGTGCTCGTAGTGTTTGCTTGGGCGCTTGTATTTTATTAGCCATCTTTGTAGTGTTTCTCATGAGAAGTTATCGCACGAGAATACATTAATTTCATAAAACAATGGAACACATGTCGTGTAAAGTTTAGCACCACAACTCTACCAATGATTTAAATACCATGTAAAGATTACAAAGCATGTCAAACTATTAATGCAATATTAAAAGCAGACAAAAACATCAGTCAGATCTACAACTAAACTCGCATGATTCGTCAAATACAAAGGCAGATATTTTCTATCATGATTAAAGGTCAATTTTAAAATATTCTATCTTAGTTCGACAAAGAACTGTGCTGATAACATCATTGTTGAATACCTTTTTGCAATTTATATATTTAACATATTTCATACGGTAATATTAATTTTACTACAGCCGACATTTCCCATGCGTTCATGCCTATATCCTTTTAAATAAATTGTGATGTTTGGATCTTTTTGATTTTCATTTCAATAGAAAATACTATTAAAAGCACAGATTTACAAAATTATAATAACTTTATATAGCAAATCAAAAACATTGTATTAAAATTATTTCGAAAAATATAAAAAAAAAAAACTATGGAATTTTAATTTGGAGATATTATGTTAAGTCCAAAAATTTTGTCATCTTTAAGAAAACATTTAAAAATGCTTCAAAAGCCCTGTTATCTATTTTAAGCCAGGTGCTGGTAGTGTTATGACTGTAGTTGGTTGGTGTCTTCTGCAATTGTTTTCGATTGATATATATCGGGTATTCTCAACATTGACCGACTAGTGTACTTGCTTACATTTCCATTCGTTAGTATATAGTATTCTCATTGAAAACCATACCAAATTTTCTAATTTATATACATATCAACATGTAATATTAGCAAGAATGTGTCCATAGTACACGGATACCGCACTCGCACTATCATTTTCTATGTTCAGTGGACCGTAAAATTCGGGTCAAAACTCTAATTTGGCTTTAACATTAGAAGGATCGTATCATAGGGAGCATGTGTACAAAGTTTCAAATTGATTGGACTTCAATTTCATCAAAAACTACCTTGACCAAAAACGTTAACCTGAAGCGGGACAGACGAACGAACGGACGCACAGACCAAAAAACATAATGCCCCTCTACTATCGTAAGTGGGGCATACAAATTCCGAAGAAAGATTAACTTTTCTCATCTTATTTCATATCACAAAACTGAGCAATAGATGATGATGTTTTGCACAATCATGAAGTCAACTACTGACATTTTCAATAGTGTCAGAGACAGGAGTTCTTCAAGATCAGAATGACTCAAGTTTTTGATCAAATATACGTGTAAGAAAGATAAACGGGATTTTTTTGTCCAATTTTTCAACTAAGCTCCACATGTACCGGTAACATCAAAATCTAGAATTTTTTTATGAGTGCTGCCAATTTCTTTTTGATTTCAACTACACTTAGACATAGGGCACACAGTGCTCAGGGTTTGCCAAACTAATACCCAAGTCAGATAATTCATTTATTTAAACAGTAGTAATGTAGAATGTCGACGAATGGACTCTATGTTTTATTCCCCGAACACCTATTGAAATTTGTCAGTTTTTACTGATTTTGGTTACCAATTATGTAAAGATAAAAATGGGGGCCATATATAGAACTTATCGAACTTACTCGTTTTAAATGTCATAAACGATTAATCACCTGCAAAGCTTGTAAGATAAGCAGTTGTTTCTTTCAAAGTCTCTAACTTTCTTTTGTATATTATTGAAAGTATAAATATGGTTACGATGCACATTCTTTGCGTTTCGGCAGGAACGTGATATCTTGTTTATTATTGTATGTATACGTAATGTAAGAATATATCATCGTAACGTTTCGACAGAAAAGTGATATAAAAAAATCCCAGTTCTGTACATCCCTTGCTTTCAGCATGTTTGGGTCTGATGAAGGTAAATCCACAAAAGCGATTCGAAAGCATGACATACATAAAGTGTTATCTTTCACCAGCTATTGAAGAATTGCTATCTCCTAGGAATAGTCCCAACGTCATCAGTGCTGACCACGTGACATTTTAATTTAGTATCGGCTTGATCAATATATAATTGAAAAGAACATACATAGTTGAAGGAGTCAGTTCCGATATACGGTAGTTGTTTTGAAATGAAAAGGAATTTAATATTTGCAATCTTTATTTGTTATATACATCATACAATATTCTTTTTTTAAATCTTTATATATTACTTCAGTCGGCTCAAACACTTGTCTTTCATTCTTACGGGACCTGCAAAATAAAACAAATAGAAGAAAATATAACCAATGCATCTAGAAATGCCAACCAATAATAAAAGCATTGGACATTTACTATTTATCAAATCAAATGAACCTAAGTATATGTTTAGAGATGTCCAGATGTTACATTCAAAGATATTCCAGTGCGTTGCGTCTATCGTATAACATTGTCGTTCTGTAAACAATTAAATATGACTAAATTTGAATTATCCTGATTATTTGAATAAACTAATAAAATCGCAAACTAAAATTTGTATTTCAGGTTGTTTGGTTTCATTGAAGATACCTTAAAAGAGAGGCGAAAGATACCATAGGGACATTCAAACTCATAAGTCGAAATCAAACTGACAACGCCATGGTTAAAAAAGAAAAAGACAAACAGACAAACAATAGTACACAAAACACTACATAGAAAACTAAAGACTGAGCAACACGAACCCCACCAAAAACTGGGGGTGATCTCAGGTACTCCAAAAGGGCAAGCAGATCCCTATACATGTGGCACCCGTCGTGTTGCTCATATTAATACAAACCCGGTGATAAGTCTAATCGGGAGGTCACATTCGGGCAAAGGGGGACGGGATTGTAGTTACGACATTAGGAACATATCCGCTATCATCTGTGAAACGAATATTCCATAACGGTCAACTAACTCGTGATGGCGTCCGTAAAACTTACAAAGGGATGATTTCAACTTCACCACTTGGAACTTTTGGTTTAATAGCTTCCTTGTAAGCAGCAACTCTCTATCAAGGAAATCATAATATAGAATAAAAGCCCTAGATCTGGGAGATATACACTCCGTAATTTTAACATTAAATTTCCATCCACAATTGCCGCAAAAGTATGGTATTTGCGTCGATAAAATAAAACATTTGTACAATTGTATCCGCTATCAAATATGCTCAACCTGTATGCCCCGAGTCGAAAATATATTTTTCTTTAAATATTTAGATATCTTGTACAAATCCAAATCAAAGAGACCATATTTCGAAAACAAAAAATTGGTCAGCGCTACATAACAGTATGTTTTTACGTTTCGTCTTTCTATTTATTATACTTTTGTATTTTTCTTGTCACACGTCATGTATTCTAAGTCTGTTGTTCAGATATTTTATAAATATGTAAAAGAAATGGCCATTTTATAGACTGGAAAATGAGAGTATATTGAAAGGTTTCCCTAACGTTTATCTTTCCAATGGCCGAAAAGCCGTTCAACTATAACAAGGGTTTTACTGCCGGTCGGAAGAAGCCTAAGGGATGACCATGTTTATATACATAATTCAACGCTTGAGTTGACTATTTAGTCAATATATATTCGTTTTTTACAAATCATATATCGAAATCAATACCAGCTATCAAAATAAAAGAAAATTCCATTGGAATGAGAAACAATGATAACTTTCTCCCCTTAGGCTATCTATGTTTTCTGTTTAAATCGTTCTTATAATTTAAGCTCAGCTTTTCGTTATCAGTCGTGAATCGTGCTTTTTAAGCAATGATTTCGATTCTATCAGCTCATCACACAGCTGAGATTAGTGATTTAATCTTTTTCAACGGCATCTTTTGTAGATCTTATTTTATTGAAATTATACACCAAATAACCATCGGCCTTTAACAGTGCCGTACGTACTTACTGTGCACTTACTTGCTGTATGATTATAGCTACCTGTTTATAACAGACACTTATCATGTTATGTTTTTTAGCTCCCTTGCAATAAATCTGAGTATATGTTGATTTATCAAAATACGAAAGTTGAAAACAGATCTGCTGTGAAATTCCATTGATAATTATTCAATATTGACCAACGGAGAAACTATTATACCCGTGATAACATTTGGGCATTAGTGGACTTGTATGGACGAACTATTGTGCTCTTTAAATATGGTGTCATGACTAATGCCATCGTTGCTGCAATAGTGTTTATGTACATGTTATTGTAAGTAAAAATATATTCATTTGAAATTTTAGTACAAATGTCTTGTATCAGGATATCTTCACTCTTTATGCATACATGTTTGTTCAGTATAACTGTAACTTATAATTTATTGATAAAAAATAAGGTCGGTTTGAAAGAAGGATATTTTTTCATTTGAACAAAATGTATATACGTATATATAATAACAACATACACCTTACTCAGAATCAAAGCAGACAACTACATGTTAGCGGTGTTTAAGAACGCATATCGACATACTGACACACTTTTCTTTGTGTTCCTCCCTCCCTGTTGTATGTATCGTTTTGTATTTAAGGTTCGGTGTTTTATGTCAATCTTGTAATTTATCATTATTAACTTCATTTGTTTTGGTTTGAGCTTAGACCAAACACAATTGATGTTTAAACATCGATTTTTGATACAGTTTGTACGTTTTCGAGCGTCATCAATGCGTCTTTTGTAGACTAAACACAAGTGTAGCGTACAGCATAGCAATCCCGATACTTATGATGAGTTTATTTCCTATTGACATGATTGACGTTGTTATTGTTCTTTGTGTAGTCTATTCAATTATAGCTACGGGTCTTTTAGTTGAACGTACATGTATTTCGGTTATATCATTTGAATATTATATAATATATTTACGTGGATTTCTGGATTATTAAGTTAAGAAAGAAAATCGAAATTATTTAGACAATGGTGTGCGTCGTATGTGTATTGAGTCATATTTATGTATATATGTTGCACAACATGTTACTTACTAGACATAAAAGATCTCCTCCAGGATTTGGACAATTACAACTGAAGTTTTGACCACTATTCTGGCAGACACCGCCGTTAAAACATGGGTTTGGATTACAAGGATCGACTGGATCTTAAACAAATGAATATTGAATACAAATAATGCATTTTTATCTCACAGAGAATTAAATTGCCTTTTTTTTCGGTGAAATCAAAGATGCAGAATTTATAAAGGTTGATGTAGTACTTAGGACAGTTTCGTCCACTATTGTTCTTTTCTCAGATTTGAGCAACATACAATTTGTCTACAAAGATTAACAATTAATGCACAAAATCTATTTTCAATTTCAAGTCTGTTTGATTGGATATTTTGCAAGTTGCAAGATGTGTTAGTCGAATATTTATATCAAAAATGGGATATTGCAATCGTCATCTATTCCATGAGTGAAATTTGTCAAAATGAGAAACGAAACAAAAAAAACAAAAAAAAAAGAACTAAAGAAGAAATAAAACCGAAAGAAGAAAACAATATATCATTGTGCAAATAGTTAGAGATCATCGATAATTTTTAAAGGAATTATTTATAAGACTTATTTCATTGGTGCAAATACTGACAACATTGTCACGTTTCATCTCAATACTCACTTCCTAGCCTGTTAAAATTACTACATGTTATTGAAAACCATTACAATAACAGTTTATTGATTGCATTTTTGAATTGATATATAAAGAACAGAAAGAGAAGGATTTGGGATTTAAAAAGACAAGAACATACAATCATGATGATATGAGCATGACGTACGTTACAATTGAATGAAAAGATTAATAACATATGTCGTTTTGGTGGGAACAAAAAATAGAATCGAAATATTAGGTACTAGCAAACTTTTTGTGTCATTTTTAAATACAAGGAAACACATTGAGCAATTCAAAATCGTAGTGAAAGCAGTAAAAGAACAACAGTCCTTTGAACTAATGGTACTATAGAAATTTTATATTTTGATTTTTAAAGTATCGAAAGAAGAGATGTATAAAAAATAGTCATGTTTGCATATGCCTTTTGAAATTGACCCCACCTTTATAAAGCATTGTTTTTGTCATGTATTGTAATAATCTGACTGCAAAAGCACAAAGTGTATTTCCTTACTGGTTCTTATAATTTTTCTCTAGTAGAATAATGTTTACAGAATAAAAATAAGTTATGTGGCTCCTATATTGACGAAATCTGCATTATACTTACTGATTATTAGCCTGGTATTTATCATACTATATAAAGTGTTCTACGTTTTATTGCTAAAGAATAAATTTCTGTCTAAAGAGCCAAATATAGCAGAAATCGATTACAGCTAATTTAGAAGCATTATGAAACTGGGATGTGTTTTATTTTATAAGTTGGATATCATGTATGAGTTCATAAAGTTGATACAGTGAGATGTATAACATCAATCGATGTTTCAAGGTAGATAGTATGTAGGAATTGATTTAGTTGGTACAGACGAATGTATTTTATAAATCAATTTTTCATGATGAATATTATATATGCGTTAACATGGTTGATACGTTGTTGCGTATTTTCTCAACAAAACACTGATTTTCATGCCATTGATCTCACATGATGAAATAGGTTTCGCTTACATGGTTACTGTTTAACATGCATTATTAGATGTGACATTGAATCACTTGAAGGATGATGCAGGCATACATTTGATAGGAGAGGACTTATCTAGTCTACGCACCTTATCTCTGATGTAACTTCATTTTGTCATTCTCGTCTTAGTTTTCAAGGACATTAGGGCCTCGTTCTGCATATAATATTACTATCACTACAATTAATTCTCAAAAAGCTGTTAATTTATCGGATCATTAAATCTACAGTCTTTAATAGTTTTTCTTTTTTTTCTTTCAAATTAAAGGGAATAATTCCCATTTATGCTCATTTATACCTACTTTCACACATAGTTCCAGTAAAACCAACAGGACAGTCGCATATTCCTCCGACACATGTTCCGCCGTTATCACAAGTTACACCATCACACGGGTCAGGAACAGTAACTGATTGAAAAATATATTTATATATTATGGTTTAAGGTATAATAGTTATGTTATCGTAATCTGAGTAATAAATTGCTGACACATATGATAATAAAGAAAATGCATTTACTGTGCATCTGGTACAATGAAATGTAATAATTAAAATACAACTAATTTTTACATTAATGTAAGCTTTCGTAAAAAAGAAAGCAAAAACGAAGCGTTTTCAGAAGATTGTCTATAACAACTAAAGCTAAAATTTCGTTGCGACTAAAAATCAAAAATCGTTTTTCGAGCATGAACCAATTATAGTTTCTGTACATTTTAAATTAATCTACAAGCACTAGCCGGTTATTTGCTATAAAATCCTTCTAAAAGAAAAATTAAATGGGTTCATTCATCAACAGATTGATTAAAACAAATAAATAAAGGCAACAGTAGTATACCGCTGTTCAAAAGTCATAAGAGAGAAAACAAATCCGGGTTACAAACTAAAACTGAAGGAAACACATCAACTATAAGAGAAGAACAACGGAACAACAGAACCATTGAAGTGCAACAAAAACAAACGCCAACATACATAGACACGAAATATTTGATAACAACAGCCATATTCCTGACTTGGAACAGGACATTTTAAGAAAAAAATGTGGGTTGAACCTGGTTTTATGGCTAGCCAAACCTCCCGCTTATATGGCAATGTTGAAAACTATCGCTAAAATGACAATACTACGTGACAGATATACAGCACAAACAAACGCAAGAACACTAGCACGGAGAAACGCACAAATATATATTATTATAGTCATTACAACATGTAAACCGCAGAATAAAAACATCTTCCATTAAGGACAGAACAGGACATCACAAGCAGTGACGTATTTTTGTAACGAATATATAATCTTGAAATTCATACAATTATTTTCACAATACTAGTCCAAACAAATATCATGACTATAACGGTATTGAAAGTCTATTTTAAATAAATGCTGCGACGACGTCATACTTATTTGGACTAACACAATACTTTATCCATGGAAAATGGAAATTAACTCAACTATACTGACAAATAAGACATATGTGAAATGTACCGAAACTACAGAATTCAAACCACAAACGATAAGACATAACACAATATCCAACCGAAACCACAACAGAAACATCATAATTCATAAATAAATACATGAATGTTAGATGTATTAATACCGAGACACGTCGTATAGCAATGCAAATTCACAGTCGGCAAAACAGCCTTATTCGGGAAAAGGTCACGTTCGGTACTTAGAAAACAGACGACATAGATGTTAAACCGCAATCTAAGACACCTCGTATAGATCAACCAATTCATGATGGTGTCCATAAAATTTACGGAGTGTCATTTTTTATCTTTCCTCCTCATAGCACTGTTGGAGCAGTTTCTGCGTAAGGAGCACACTCCTGTATATGAAGTCCGTATAGTGTGAACATGCACGAGCATAACGTATCAATTGAGATATGTAAACACCATACGACGAAGCAGAGGGTATGTTACTGCTGAGAAATGGGAAACTGTTAATTGGGAAGGTGAAATCATCCCGTTTGTCATAGATTTTAGTGTGAAGTCGTCCATCTGTGTCAATATTGAGGAAAAGATATGAAGCATTCCTTCTAGTATCAATAGTATCCTTAATTTCAAGTTCACTGGGATATATGAGATGCAAGTTCTGACTGAAGTATGGGTTATTCAATGATAGGACATCATCAATATATCTGAAAGTAAAATTAAAAAAAATTGGCAAGGTGCTTTTTCGTTTTGTCTTTTAGAAGGTTCTGAATGAATTCTTCTTCATACGAGTTAAAAAAACAAGTCGGCCAAAAGGGGTGCATAGTTTTACCCATTGGAATACCGACTGTCTGTTGAAATATCAATCCTCCAAACAAATATATTGTCGATTAAAAAGTCCAGCATTTTGATAATATCATCTTCAGTGTATTTTCTGATAGAATCAGTGTGGTTCTTCACATAAGAATGATTATAACCCAAAACAAGAAATTTCTATCTATGATTCCCATTTTTATAGAAAAAGCTCTGTTTAATGAGATGGTGAAGTCGATCTTTCAATTGAGCATGGGGAATAGTATTGTAAGGCCTAGAAAAATCAAAAGTCTTAATGTTGCTGCGAAATTGCAGAGATTGTGATCTAAGATTTATCAGTAGATCTTTAGAATTTATGAGAATCCACATCTAATTGACACCACTGGTTGAATATATCTCATCACAATATTTTTGAAGGCCATCTTTTACTGTAGAAAGAATAGTAGTCAGCACTTTAGAAATATGTTTAGTCGAACATCTTGATGATCCAGCTATCGTTCTTTATACGGATTTTTGTGAAGTTTTGGTATCCAGTATAATAAAATGAGAAAGATACAAAATGAAAGTTGCCATTGTCAATGATGCAACCATCATTGACGACAACACTGCTTGTTCTAGGGAGGAGATTATTCATCGGGAAAGATTTAGGATAAAAAAATAAAAAATGTTGACGGCAAATGGGATGAATGAAAATTTTATCGTTGAAATCGCACAGCGCTCTCCGTTGCAGCTTGATATGTTAGTTTAATTTTTTGATTCATAAATACGGTTTTTAATTTGTATTACGTTCAAGATTGGTTTTAAAAAATCAGTATCTGTTATCCGAAATATAGAATGATTATAGCCTTGTATTTACTATTTCTTCTTTTTAATTTTGGTGTTGTGCTGTACACTTTGTAGGCGAATATATAATATGTATAAATATAAGTAGGCTTGATATTATATCTATGTGTGCTGCATCGTCGTTTTTTAACCGATCCGGTGGTTACTAAAGGAGTAGTGCAAGTAACCTCAATGAACTGCCCATCAAAGGGGATTTTGTTTAAACGTCAATTGTTTGATGTAATCTTATGTGTATGTATTGGTAAATGAATTATGTTTGAAAGTCCAATAAGAACAAATTCATATCTGCTTCATATCTATAAATATGTTAGCCTTAAAAAAGAATAGATTTAATTTTAGTATATTTTTCCTTAAATTTGGACCTTGTTTCGACTTTTTTGATAACTTCTTATGTGACGCCTACCATGGCCCATTTAAGTTTTGGTTGAAAAGTAAAGAATAAGGTATATTAACACTATTTAAGCAAAACTATTTGTGAGCGAGGGGTTGCACCACTGGTAATTTATCAGAAAACTGTTATAATATTTTTCCAAAGTATGCAAACAATTAGGTTTAACGAAATTCACTTACATTTATGTGACATTTAAGAATATGTTTTAAAAAATGTTCATATCAACACTGTTAAATTTTCAAGTTTTCAGAGCCAACATTATGACTTATTGAACCTTTTCCTTTGCTAGTTTGTTGTTTCTATAGACTATTATATATACATATGTATATGTATAAATATACGACACACATCATGCACATGTTCTCCATCAGATAACCAATTGTTATACAGGGCTACCACGATAAGTTAGATATACTTCGTCTGAAACTTAGCCCATTGTTCGTTCTGCAAATGTGTGTAAGCAAACGTTTGGTTCTTTCCTCCTTCGAATCCTTGTTTCTGCGACATCGTGGCTCCACGCCTGCAATATCTCCAGCGCCCTAGACAACTCGGCCTACTAGGCTATTAATTATTGGATTTGTTAGTCGTGTAGTGTCTTTTCTCATCGGTGTATCTTGTGTTGTAACACAGCACATGACGTATTTCATAAATCAATGTTTCAAGGTGGACATCTTGTAGGGATTCACATAGTTGACACAGACGTATCTTAAAGATGTCTTAATCTTGCAGTGAGGTGGGAGTTTGTTTGATCCGTGTTGAAGGCCTCACTATGACTTTGAGATGAAGAACATCAATAAAAGCGCTGTTGCTTTGCTTTTTTTTGTGTTATTTTTTTTGCCGTGCACACACTGATTTTGTGTCATGGATGGATACCCTATATCCTTTCTTTTCTATTGTATTTATTTAATAATCACTGTTTCAAGGTGAATATTATGTATATGTTAACATAGTTGATACAGTGGTCTCACATGATAAAATAAATTTCGCTTACATGGTTATCGTTCAACATGCATTGCTATATGTGATTTTGAAATACTTGACGGGTGATGCATGTTTACATAAAGCAGGAACTCGCTTAACGGGTATGCGCACCTGGGCTCTATATTTCATTTCATTTTGTCATTTTCGTCATAGTTTTCAAGGATATACGATACTTGTTCTGCATATAATAATACTGTCATCACATTAATTTCTCAAAAAGCTGTTAATTTATCGGATCAATAAATCTCTATTCTTAATAATTTTTATTTTTTTTTTTCAAATTGAAGGCTAATGATTTCTAGTTATGCTCATTTATACATACCTTCACACATAGTTCCAGTAAAACCACCAGGACAGACACATGTTCCTCCGACACATGTTCCGCCGTTATCACAAGTTACACCATCACATATGTCTGTATGCAAATATATTTATATATTATGGTTTGAGGAATAAAAGCTATGTCATCGTAATCTGAGAAATAAATTGCTGACACATATGATAATTAAGAAATTAAATTTACTGCGCGTCTGGTACAATACAAGGTAATAAATGCAGAAAAATACAACCAACTTTGCCTTAATCTACGAGTTTGATTAATTGAAAGAAAAAAGAGGTGTTTCAAAAAGATTGTCTATATTAATCTAAGATATAACTTGATTTGATTCAATGCCCACTCCGAATGTTTTCCTTTTAGTGTGGTTGAGGTCTTATATTTACATCAGGAACTTTCAAATGTAAAGACAGTCCGGTCAACAATTAGAAGAAGAAGAAAAACAGACTGTAACTCCTTAACAATAATTAATAATTCAAGTGTATAGATTAAAATGTTCGAATATGAGATCAAGGGAAACTAGTCAGAATTACACGTGATTTCTGGTTTGAGTTCAAACATTACAAGCCTTTTCTGTAATTTCTACGATACAGACAGACATTTTTCAGAAATTAAATTTTACAAATATGATATAATTGAAGTTATCAAAATTTGTAATATTTATGATAAATTTGTAATCTTCGATTCACAATGAATTGAAAACCATTATCTGTAGTACGTGTACCGTGGATTCACTATTCAGGCGATCAGTATACGGTCACAGATTAAGTATTAATTATTAAACAACCACTCTAGTTGAAGCCATAGAAATAAATGAACTGATGATATATGCGTCGTGCATTAGGCAGTTACGTCATGACTTTATTTGATCTACGTCATGACTTCATTCGATCCTATTTCAGAAATGTCAGTTGGTTGCGAGGAAAAAAAAACACAAAAATACGCTCAAGAAGTATGTAATAAAGATAGTTTCTGGATATACGAAGAAGCACCCTTCCAACAGATAAATAAGATGAATGCTTTCATCAGTAGATTGATTATCAGAACAATATAAATGTTATCAGTCAGTTTGGTTAATTTTCGTCAAAATAAGGTAAAAACAGAACCATCGATTAGTTATTAGTGACATAAGTCAATAATTCAACCTCATTTGAATCCGTATTCATTTGAATTTGACCTTTATTGGAAGTGGGTTACGCATGTGTTCAGCATGTTGTCAGATTGTTCATTCATTGCATTTTAAACTTTTTTGTAGTTTGAATATACTTTTTAGTGTGCAATCAATCAATTAGAAGAATTTGGGTAAAATCGGTGAAAATAAATTGACAGTTCTTGCCCCTTTAAAACGTACGAACGTTTGTGGGTACAATTTTCATCGTATTATTACTATGTAAGGTAAGTTACTGTGCCATCCGTTCCCCGAAAAATCCCAAACCCAAAATATGTGCACGCCTGGTTTATGCTCGATAGAAGCATTGTATATATACCAACTGCACATACACACTGAACATATACACACTTGTATTCAATACGAAACAATCAACTATTGGATACGAAGATTTATGATTCCATAATTGGCATTCTTTTTGAAAGGTAAATGAATTGATTCTCAAAAACACTTATATTGATCAAACTGTTGTTAAAAAATCAATCCTGCAGTTTCAAAACTACTGACTATTAAAACTAGTGCAAGATTTAGTTTATAAGGGAAAATGTCAATAAAATTAACGAAAAATATCTAGTAGCGTTTAACTTATTTTATATAATATTTATTCCTAACTGAAAACATACTACATTTAACGCAATGACGAGTTGAACACGAGGACAATGTCTAGTAAAATTAATACCAGACATGGGTCTCACCAGGAACAATTTGTAAACAACGTTCAGAATTGGAAAATTGATTGGAAATTGCAACGTTGTTGCTGCGGTTTTTTTAATCATTGTGTTAAACCTGTAAAATACTTACCGTCACACGTTGGACCGGTAGTTCCTGTTGGACAATCACATATTCCGTCGGTACAGGTGCCTCCATTCTGACAAACAATTTGATTGCATGGATCCTCAACTAATATAACACAATTGAACGAGATGTTGGTATATGTATATTTAAAGATTTCTTAAATCTTTATTGTATCAGGTGTTCATTTATATTGTATTACACTGGTAATGTAGCACCATTTGTATACTACAGCGACTAAAATCAATCTTAAAGGCAATGCATGATAAGATATATATTTTTTCCCATAGAAATTCAAATCTTTAAACGTACTATGAATCTCTCAATTTACATATCAAGACATTTGCAAAAGTTTTCCGTATCATTGTTTTTTGAAAAAAAAAATTTTATTTATTTTTTCCTGTAAAGTCATTATGAAATAATCTTGTATTTTTGTTTTGTTTTGAATAATAGGATGGATTTGTAATGTCAATTTAGACAACAGTAAAATATTGATTATAAAATTTTAAAAATCCAAGAAGATACATTCAAAATAACTTCCAAACACAAACTAATGGAATCGCATGAATTCAAAATCGATCCACAAATATATTTCAAGATATGCAATGATATAGTAATGACACATTTTGGGATATCAAAAGGATTGGAATTACACAGACTATTTTTGTATCCTGTTAGAAATGTTTAAGACTAATGAGTCTTCCTGTTGTACCCGATAAGACATAACTATTAAACGTGTGTTCCTAAAAATAATATTTCAGTAATGCAACAATAATTTCTTATGTAGCGGTTACAAGACTGCACTGAGACCTATTTAGATAAAAGAGAGACGAAGAATACCAAAGGGACATTCAAACTCATAAGTCGAAAATAAACTGACAACGCCATGGCTAAAAAAGAAAAAGACCAAAAGACCAAACTTTAAAAATCCGTACACAAAACACAACTGAGCAACACGAACCCCACCGAAAATTCGTGGTGATCTCAGGTGCTTCAGAAGGGTAAGGAAATCCTGCTCCAAATGTTAAATTTCTATTGTATTGACCTTAATATATCAACAGACATGAAACAACTAATGAATATATCTGTCATAAATGTATATCCAGTGACGTTTTCTAAGTCCAAGAATATATTATAAGTATATCTGTCTATTGTTATCTGCATATATAATATTTGGTTTTTTGTGTTACATTGTAAGGATATTACATAATGTGACGAAATTGTCCATTATCCAACCAATTTCACACTCAGTCAAATAATAAAATATATCGGCATTTTTACAAAATATTTTGTTTCGTTTTGTACTTACCTGTTGCGTAAATTAATGAACATGTATTTTATCTACAATTTATCTAAAACGTCTTTTAAAGACTTACTTTCGCATTCATCTCCAGTGTATCCATTAGGGCACATGCAAATTTTGTTCCAGTTTGAATCGTGAAAACAGGATCCACCGTTTAAACATGGATTTGGATCACATGGAGTCATCACAGCTAATAATAAAATCATAGATATAATAATTATTATACAATATATGTAAATTGTCTGAAAATATGAAAGTTATTTGTACGAAATTTAGAAACAGGGCGGCTTTTCTCCTATTTTGTAGCGGGTTCAAGTAAATTTTATATTACGACAATGTACATATATAGTTGTAATCCTGCAATTTACACCCGGCACTTTAAGGTTTAATTGTTTAAATCCAAAATACTGTCTATATTTTTTTCCAAGCAATCAACATAGTTTAAACGGGTGTAGCGAAGAGGATTCTGAAATGAACTATCACACAAAAAGAAATAATCACATTACCGTTTGCTCAATATGGACGCGGAGCAACGGGAGACTTTACTTGTACATTTTAGTATGAACCAAAAAAGTTTTATTTACCAGGGCTCTTGGTCAAAACCTTTACTCAGTACTCGGAGTACAAAATCTGTGCTCGAAACACTAAATCTAGTGTTATGATTGTTTGATTTCTGAGTCTGAAAACGATATTCGTACCAGAAATATTTTGGACCGCAAGTCCTGTTATTTGTACAATACGTGACTGAATACAGAATAACTATATTTCTCTAATTCTTCGTCGATTTATCCCTTTCTGCACCCATTGTATAAACAAATTTAATCAACGTGTGGTTCGTTTGATCTCAGTTCTTCATTGGTTAAAATCCGATTATGACGTTCAATTTTCTTGCTTTCCTCTGAATTTCCTATTGTGACGGCATGAAAAAAGGCGACCATGCCTGATGACGTCACATAGAAAGAACACATCTTTTTGCAGATCATTGGAAAAGAAGGAATAAATTTGCCTGCGTATTGTTTGAAACTCATTAGAGAAACAGATTCTACCACCAAATCTCGTGTAATACGATATTTATCCACTCTCGACAGTTAAATTTTAAATATTTAAAACGCTCGGCGAGCCTCGCGTTTTAAATTTGAAAATTTAACTGTCTCGAGTGGATAAATATCGTATGATACTCGATGCAGTGGTAGAATCTATATATATGTATATACCTGGCATAAGCAGTTATATTTACAGCATTTAAAAATAAGTATTTGTTTTTTCAATATTATAATAGCAATAACTACATTGCAAAATTGTCAATTTCAATAACAACCAACACCCGCAAACATATTTAACCCCGCCTCATGCTGGATGAGCAAGTCAGGAGATTGTAATTCAGAAGTTGTCGTTTCTTTTTGTATAATTTTATCATATTTATTTTTCGTTTATTGTTTTGAACATTAATCAATTCGTCCGTGTTCTCGTTTGAATTGTATTACATATGTCATTCCGGGGCATTTTAAAGCTTGCTAGGTAATATGGATTTTGCTCATTGTTGAAGGTCGTACGATGACCTATAGTTTCTAGCCTTCTACGTCATTTGATCTCTGCTGAGGAGTTGACTCATTGGCTATCATACCACATTTTTTCTGCGTTTTTCATAATCGGCTATATAGTATAACTTGGGTCAAAGGAATATTAACATCTACAACAATACATAAATTCAATTTTAGTTGATGCCTACTACATATATAACTATGTCTACCTTAAAAATTTAGACTAACTTAAGATTTTTCCAATATGTTTTTTTTTTCTTATAACACAATGAACTCTTAATACTCGGTACCTTTATTTTGTAATGTATATATCGGATGAGTATAAAACAACAACATAATATTAAATATAGTGTACAAATAGAACATATGATTTTGTATACATGAAGTATGCAGTATATAAAATATTATTATATGAAGCAAAAAAAACTGAAACTGCAAAACAAGTATAACAAGGCCTTGCTGTTGATGAGTTCAAAACTTACTTTCACAGACAACACCCGTATACGGATGAGGACAGATGCACTTAATCTCCCAAACGTTACGGAAGCAGGATCCTCCATGCTTGCAGGGGTTAGAATAACATGGGTCGATTTCCGCTAAAATATCATTGTATAAGTAGGTCAGACAGACAGTCATTTTAATGTAAATATGATAAATAAAGGCAACAGCAGTATACCGCTGTTCAATAGTCATTTGATAACATTTATATCAGGTATTATAGGGTTGAAAATATCAAAAGCTTTTATCAACTTCAGTTCAAACCAAAAATAGGTATACAAGCACGTCTGTCGCCTCAGAAAATTATGTTTTAAGGAAAATAAACAATCATAAAGGAAAAATTGTTGAAGCTGTGCACATCAATGACACAATAAAAAAAAATATTCAGAGAAATGTTTACAATGTCCATGTAAATAGTTACATATTCTCAGAAAATACTTAACAATCAAGATTTTTTTTCTGAGGTTGCACATGCTTTTCCAATCCAACATATACTGACGCTTTGGAAACAACTACATTTTTTACAAAATACTGATAAATACTTACAAAATATACAATTATCAAAATTAACGCGGAAACTCGTCAAAATGGAATTATCTGTTTCTTTAGTTATATCAGAAACAATGAGATCATTAAAATATCTGTTATTACCTAATATGGACTTGTGCTATACTGCGGGGTTATTCGTGTTTGATGTGTATGAGCTTTTGATCTTGCCATTTGATAAGGGACTTTCCGTTTTGAATGTTCCTTGGAGTTCGGTATTTTTGTTATTTTCCTTTTTTCATATGCATTTTATTATTGATAAAATTACTTAATGGTTCGAACCATTTGATGGTGTCTTGTATTCCCACCCATAAAGCACTATTGATAACCTTGAAATAAATTACATCAAATAGGAAAAATGTAGGTGATTCTCTGATATCCTGTTTACCATGTAAGATAGGGTAAATGTGACCAGGTCACAATGCTGACAATATCTATCTATTTTGTCTTTTCCACAAAAAATACAATACTAATTACAATAGAAGTTCATTCATTTAGAATTGATTTGAACAAGCTAGAGGTTCAATAAAGTTACATCAATTAAGAACTGACATGAACAAGCTAGAAGTTCAATGTAGTTATATTCATTCAGAACAGATTTGAACAAGCTAGAAGTTCAATAAAGTTACATTCATAAAAAACTGATTTGAACACGCTAGAAGTTCAATAAAATTACATGCATTAAATATTGATTTGAACAAGCTATAAGTTCAATAAAGTTACATGCATTAAGAACGTATTTGAAAAAGCTAGAAGTTCAATAAAGTTACATGCATTAAAAACTGATTTGAACAAGCTATAAGTTCAATAAAGTTACAATTATTAAGAACTGATTTGAACAAGCTTGGTGTGTGGTGTCTTATATTATCAGGAGACGGACATTCAATCTTTTTTGAATCGCCTCGATGGTCTCGTGGTAGCGTGTTCGCCTCGAGCCCGGGAGGTCGTGGGTTCGAACCCCGGCCGGGTCAAACCAAAGACTTTGAAATTGGTAATTGCTGCTTCTCCGCTTAGCACGAGGCATTAAGGAGTAAGAGTAAAGACTGGTCGGCTCGGCGTCAGAATAATCTGTCTTTGTAAGGTGACATGTCTTCCTGCGGAAAGTTACCTTGTGAACTAGCACGTTGAAGATCCGGCTCAGCGTGTCGGTCTAGTACAAATCAGGGTTAATATTCATATTACATTAACATGTTCTCGTCCTGAATATGGATATTAATTTTCCTTTGGCCGTTAAGCAGCTATCATCATCATCATCATCATCATCATCATCATCATCATCATCATCAATCTTTTTTTAGAATGTCTTAGAAGATTTTTTAAACACATATTTCATACTGGTTTTTATGCACACGATTTTTGTTATTTTGGAATCGGAAATATTGAGCTTGATTACATATGAACTTACTAAAAAATTCTGTTGATTTGGAAATAGATAGTTTATTATCTTAACGTTTCGATCTAGATATAAGTGAACACCTAGGTAAGTATCCAATTTTTTCAGATGATCTATTTAGGGTTCTAAGAACCTATAGTTACTGGTACTTAGATTTGTTAAGATGAATACGCTTAAGGTTTTTATCTTATTCGTGTTTAACATAAATAAGAACATACTTTCACATTTCGGACCAGTGTAGCCTTTAGGACATTGGCACTGAGCTTTCCCCCAGCCATCAACTGAACACGTGCCGCCATTTTCGCATGGATTAGGATCACATGCGTCTGAAAAAGGATGAAATAATGTAAATTGTACTTGAATATACTGAAATAAAAAAAAAAATCATTTGAATCTTGTATGATAGAGAGATTCTTTTTTGGACAAGTAGGGTGTCTTTATAAGGTCTATATAGTTTTAGTTCTTTTAAATAGCTGGACCCCTTGCTTACATAAAAATGATGCATATGGATCTAGACGTTTGTATAGTTCATGAAATACTGTATTCACTTAAGCAGCATTGATGACATCAAAGATATCATGTCAATAAGTTAAAGTTATGATTATGATGTTTGTGATGGTCGGCTAACACTTACATTGTCGATTTTCGGTATCATTTACATATCCAAGGATAGAAAAAAAAACTGAATGGAGTAATTGTTGATTTTTGACAAAGTTCATTTAGACATATGGGATAGAGATTCCCAAAATATATTGATCGACTCTGATTTTTCCATAAGTCTAATATATCTGACGTAATTATTTGTGTTCTCCTATTTCTGAATGTGACCTATCAACTTATACTTATCACTGGTTTTGTACTTACATGAGTAGCACGAGGGATGCCACAGGAGCAGGATCTGCTTACCCTTCCGGAGCATCAGCGATCACGCCCAAGTTTTAGTGTGGTTTGTGTTGCTCAGTATTTAGTTTTCTATGTTGTGTTTTGTATACAGTTGTTTGTCATTTTCTTTTTTTGACATGACGTTGTCAGTTTATTTTCGACTTATGAATTGGAATGTTCCTTTGGTATAGTTTGCCTCTCTTAAAAATTCAGTATATCAATATTAGATGAACCACGTAGAGACTCGTGGACAGATTTCCATCCGTTTTACCATATTGTCCCACAAGCAGGGTAGCAAAAACAGAAAATAATTTTTTTTTAAGACGTAGAAATCACTACAATGGTTTTACTATGAAAGTTATGTATGTCCTTTAATTCTAATCGGACATTGTTTAATGAATATACACGTTTGGTTGTTGTGTGATACTCTATTTTATCCTCAGTGCAACCATGATATTCATGTGTCCTTCATTATAGTAAATACAGCCTTAGTCATGTTAGTTAAATTTTTATGTAATTGGCTTTCATATTGGAGAATATATAGTAACACGTCAATTCCGTTACGTGTTTTTGTAATTTCTTTTCCAACACCATAAACAAATTAAAAGCTGGCACAGCAAACTGATGCTCCCATAATTTATCAAAAGAATCTTTTTTTTTTATTTCAAGGGCTCACGATACTGGTAGATTTCGAACGATTCATTCAGATGTACTATTCCTGCTAGTTTTCACTTTTATAAATGTGCTACAATTTACAAGTTAATATAATCCTGAAACCAACTTTCGAAAAATTTTGTTTCCAAGTCACATGGTGGAACCACACAATTGGTAATCGGTGTACCAGGACTACAATCAGTTGGTGAAGGATACTGGAATGCTTTAAACTGACAAAAGAAATTAATTGGGAAAAATGATAAACCATGTAAAAATAAGAAGATGTGGTATGATTCCCAATTTTCAAATGAATTAGATGCAAGCAATTATAGGCATGCGTACGGCCTTCATCAGCCCATACTGTAAAGTAGGCCCAGAAGAAGTAACTTCACAAAAAAAATAAGTAATGAATTGTACCTATATCATGTATATGTCTTTCTGGATTTAAACGGACATTGTCACAAATGTCACCCATAATGATTGGGTTTGAACTAAAATATAGTAACCATCACTTTTCTAACTGGCTGTAAAACCTATGACAAAACGGAGCGTTTGTTTAACTGTTAAAATGTTGTAATAATGCAAAAAAAAAAAAAAAACTTGTAATACAACCATTTGAAGTAACATTTTCTACCACCTATCCAACGTGTTTTTCGTCCAGTGAATTTGCAACCATTTAATCCGATTTTCGGAAGTTTTCTATTATGTGAGTTGTTTTGTTTTTCAATTCTCACAACTGGATGTTAAGCAAACAACGATCATTCAATTAGTTTTATAATGTTCATATTTGAGAATGGAAATGGGGAATGTGTCTACGTGACAACAACCCGACTAAAGAGCAGAATACAGTACAAGGCAACCAATGGGTGTTCAACACAGCGAGAAAATCCCGCATTCGGATGCGGGCTTCAGCTGGTTCCTAAACAAAAATGTGTACTTGTTTAGTGAAAACTGACGTCACACTAAACTCCGAAACATATAAATGAACTAAAACTAAAAAAGACATACAAGACTAACAATGAAACGATTCTTAAAACAGATTTTTGTGAACCAAATTCATCTCATGCATCACACTTATTACAATTTAAATGTCTGTTTATTCTCAAATATACATATATTATGTATATTTTTAATTTGGACATCTAGACATGTTTTGAAATCATTCTGAAATATAACTGCTGAACTCAAGCTATTATATTTAAATCTATTTCAATGTGAAACTCGCAATCTTATTTTTAAACTTATGATCCATAACGCACATGTGTTAGACTATTTACCGAATAAGACTATTAACCGGATTTGTAATAACATAAGCAACACGACGGGTGCCACATGTGGAAAAGGATCTGCTTACCCTTCCGGAGCACCTGAAATCACCCCCAGTTTTTGGTGGGGTTCGTGTTTTTTAGTCTCTAGTTTTCTATGTTGTGTCATCTGTACTATTATTCGTCTGTTTTCTTTTTTTTTGGCCATGGCGTTGTCAGTTTGTTTTCGATCAATGAGTTTGACTGTCCCTCTGGTATCTTTCGTCCCTCTTTGAGAAGTATTCTAGATACATTTTGTGGGTACAAACTATTAACTATTTCTTTCTCATTAATAAAAAATCATCAAAAATACTAGGCTTAGAACTTTGCATGCTAGACGCTCGATTCGTCTACAAAAGACTCGAATCTGAATAGTTAAAAGGCAAAATCTTAATTAACAATTCTAAAACTGTTATAACTTATGTTTTAAATAAACAGTGTTGTTTTGAATATTGCACTTGCAATTCTAAATCTTAAGACATATTTGTACGTACTGTCACAATTTGTTCCTCCATAGTTGCTAGGGCATGCACATGTGTATCCGTGTATTGTTGGTGTACATGTACCACCATGTTTGCAAGGTCGGGAATCGCAAGGATTTTTCTGGTCTATTCATAAATCAGAAAAAAAAACATTGATTAAAACAAGTAATAAAGGTTATTAATCAAAGTTTATCTTCATTCTTCTTAAATTAAAAGCAATTGTCGTACTTGCAGGGTCTAAAGACTAAAGAAGTATTTATGCTTAAGATTGTTTTTATTTCTAAAGATTTCAATCACTATGAACTCATTTTCTTCGTGCGTACCAAATTTCATGCAGTGGGTAACACTTGCAATTTTCGCGGTTTTGCCTTGATCTTCAAATACGACTATAGAAAATTTGTAAATCCTTGAACATTTAAATAATGGTTCAACTGTATCCACACAATTCACGAAAATTGATATCCCTCGTACAGTAATGAATATACAGTACTACTTCATGTACTTACCACAGTTATATCCCGAATAACCTCCATGGCATGAACAAGTGTAGCTGCCAGTACTACTGGGATAACACGTTCCATGCACACACGGGGTGTGGCTGCATGGGTCTTGATCTAAAACATACATTATGTATTCCATTATTTCAAAATAGAGAATGGATTGAGAAGTCACACACATTGAAAAAACTGTATACATCTGGCACATTATGTAAAATGGGTCATTGTGGAGAACAAATATCTAAAATACCAACTGTCATGGAGTGGGTAAAACTTGCAATGTCTTGGTTTATTTGCCATCATCTGCATATACGACTATAGAAAATTGTATATCGTTGAACATTTGAATGCGTGGTTCGATTGTTCCTACAAAATCCACAAAATTTGATGTCCCAAGAACAGTAAGGAATATACAGTATTACTGCATGTACGTACCACAGTTATTTCCCGAATAACCTCCTTGGCATGAACAAGTGTAGCTGCCAGTACTACTGGGATAACACGTTCCATGCACACACGGGGTGTGGCTGCATGGGTCTTGATCTAAAACATACATTATGTATTCCATCATTTCAAAATGGAGAATGGTTTGAGATGTCACACACATTGAAAAAACTTTAAAAATCCGGTACAATATGTTAAATAGGTCATTGTGGATAACAGATATATAAAACAAAGTTACCTTAGTTTGCGATTATATACAAAGCGACAGCAATTTACTGATGTTCGAATTTTGTGTACAATTAATACCTATTATTTATTTGTAGAAACTGAGACATGGTAATGACTTACCAGTTATCATTCAAACAATTGTCAGATAGACAATAAGAAGCATGTGCTATTTTTGACACGATTCGAAACATGAGAAACGGTGTCATTTTAACCAAACAATTCGTAAAGGAGACGGTAGAACATATGAAGTGATAAGTTCAGTTCTTTCTCACATATTAAATGACCAGCTGCTCTAATGTCATTGATCATATTGATCTCTTTCACTGTCTCATCTTCTTTTGTTACTCATCATTTTTACTATTTCATCAGTTTTAAGGAAATTCGCTAGTCTGTTTCAATAAGCAAGCTTTTAAAAAAAAATTTTTTTTTTATAAATTGATAGTATATAAATAAAGGAACAAAACAAAACAGGAAAATTGAAGGGTCCGTGTCCTTGTTTTCAAGATATAAGCCATTCACAAAATTGCGGAAAATGATTCCCTCTAGATTTTTCTTTCATTTAACATTGGCAACCTGTGCTGATGAAACACGAGTGTTGCCTACCAATGTGTAAGCCCGGTATCATTTATGTGATTAATCAGTATTCCCATATTTGTATTAATGAGATGACTAACACATTCAGTGTATTTCATCCTTTTTTTTAATACATGGAGCTTCGTTACTAACCGTACCAAAAACCGGGGTATTCTCAAGTGCTTAGAAAGGGTTAGATGATCCTGTTTCACATTTGCAACTCTTCATACTGCTCATGGTAGGTGCACATTTAGTTCTAAGGCTCATTCGGGTTATGTCAAAGTCAAAGAAAAGAGGAAGGAATTGAAATTTTAACAACATGAATATCTTCGTGGTCATATGTGAGACAGACATTCCATAATATTCAACCAACTCGTCATGACGGGTTTACGGGTGTACCGGCTAAACGAATAAGGTTCAATATTTGTCCTTTTGATCAATTTTAAGTTTAGGTCAAGGATGTACTTAGGTCAGGTTTAGGATTTTTTGTCAGACGCTCGGACTCCATGGTTTGTTTTCCTAAGATACAGGGTAAAATATTTTGCCCCATAACACCCATTTTCTTTTCATATAAGACTTCAATAGCCTATAAAAAGTCATTTACCAAAATTTAAGCAGATTCTAGATTTCTTTTCTTTTGATTTGAGACCCGAATAATACCTATGCGAATATAAGGTAAAAGTCCGAATCAGCCATTTCCCGCCATTTAAAAAAAGTAAATATCTCAAAAAGGAGCTCCATAACCTATCAATATTTTTAGCGTATTTTGTTCCTTAACTAATGCTCTTCTGACTTATAGTATCAATTTTAAATTCTATTTTTTTCATTCATCCAAGTACATCCTTAGGTCATTTCAATGGATACGTCTTCATATACATGTACGTCTCAGATAAAAAAATAGGTAAGAACAATCAGAACTAGTTTAGTTCATATTTGCACATTATTCAAAACAAGGTTTATTTGACAACTTACCACAGTTTGTTCCAGAATAACCAGTGTGACAAGAACAGGTATAACCACCACTACCACTGCTGGTGCAAGTCCCGTGGACACATGGATTATTGCTGCATGGGTTTTCATCTAAGAATGTTTGATTTGTTTCTTTTAATGAATCATGGGTACTTGTGTTGTGAATTTACTTCTATCACCGATATCTTATATGGTTATTTTTTGCCATCCATTAAATAATTTTCTGTCTGTTTGTATTTTAAAAATTCCATAAGGGTTAACCCATTTATTTAAATTTCGGCAATTCAATTGATGCATCGCCATTAACTGTTCAGATAAAGGGAAAAAAAATTAGAACGCGTTTTGTTAAAGTTTGCCAGAGAAAGCCTTTTGGACGCATGAAATTATTTAACGTGTTGTTTTCATTTTTGTTTTTGCCGCTCATTCATATTTATAGAACGATTTAAAGAACTGTGTTAACCACAACTTACCACAGTGTGTTCCAGAATAACCAGTGTGACAAGAACAGGTATAACCACCACTACCACTGCTGGTGCACGTTCCATGGACACATGGGTTTACGCTGCATGGGTTTTCATCTAAGAATGTATCATTTATATTATTGACAAAGCATGGGTATTTGTGTTGTGTATTTATTGTTACCGTCAGTATCTAATATAATCATGTTTGCAAGACATCTTATTTTTATTCGTGAAACAAGTAATAAGAATAGCAATCCCCAAAATAATTTTTCTAGCTTAAATTTTTTTTTTTTTTTTTTTTCAAAATAATCATGATCGTTGCTTTCTTAACTACTTTTACAACTGATTTACATATTATTATGTACTACTGATTTTCGTACGAATGAGAGATATTTTTCAAATTAACTTATTCTTTCAGACACGCTTTACACCAAAAGTGTAGACGACATAATACATACGATTTCAAATCATTGAATCTTAAGTGATCAAACAAAAGATAATTGCCAACGATCAACTTACCACAATTTGTTCCATAATAACCAGTTTTGCAAGTACAGGTGTAGCCACCAGAGCCACTGCTTATGCAAGTTCCATGCACACATGGATTTACACTGCATGGGTTTTCATCTAATGAGTATGAATTAGGATAATATTATTAGTTCTATTTTTTTTGTTTTCGTCAATATCATAAATAATCTTGTTTGCAATGAATCATACAAGAGAGAGGTTTAGCTAGCTATAAAACCAGATTGTCCCCACCATTTTCTACATAAGGAAATGCATGTATCAAGTAAGGAACATTTTTTGCCATTCGTTTGATGTATTTACGCTTTTGATTTTGCAATTTGATAAAAGACTTTTCGTTTTGAATTTTCCTTGGAGTTTGTTTTTTTGCTATTTTACTTTTTATTTGTAATACGAGTAACAAAAACATTTTTAATACCGACTATTATTTGTGTTCCATTGGAGTCTTATCTTTAGCATCGCTTTATTTACCAATTTTATTATTGAATAATATATTAACATTTGCTACTGATTTTCGTACGTAGCGAAGGTGTTTCAGATATAACATGTCAATTAGGCACGCTTCACATTGAAAGCTTCAGAAAACAGACAAATAGATAAAATGTCAGCATTGGTCAGCAATGCATTTAAGCTTTATAGATCATAAACCGAGAGAATCTTTAAAGGTCAACTTTATCTAGCGTGGTTGGGACTTTTCAATTCATACAATTAAATATGTCATAAACAGCGAATTGTACAGTTGCAGCGACCAATCCAGGTATACAGTAGTAATTCTACGATGAATTGTATTTGTATACCATCGTGATCAATATTACCTACCACAGTTTGTCCCTAAATATCCGGTGTAACATGAACAACTATAACCACTTCCGGTGCTTTTACAAGATCCATATGCACATGGACTAGAGCTGCAATGATCATAGATATCTGGAATTAGAAAAAAAATATTTCGCATATAATAGACGATACCAACATAACTACATGTATAATTTTACTATTTCGTATAAAATCCAAATCCAAAAGACAATCACCAAAAGAACGACACATATCAAAAGCAATGACAAATACATTCAATCCAGAATAGAAATCATCTTCAGGATTTTAGGTAAAGAAACCAAAAAAGAAAACGTTTACAGAGGATAGTTGTGGAAAGTCGCAACATTCAAATACGCCAAAAAAAAAAAACCCCAAAAAAACACTAGTGAATCGATATACACCAAAGGTGGTTTTGCTGCAAATTTTGTGGGAATATGCACATTTTGTTTAATTTGGCGATTGTGTATAAGAGAGGCAAAAGATGCCAAAGGGACATTAAAACTCATAAGTCGAAAATAAACTAACAACACCATGCCTAAAAAAGAAAAATACCAACAAACAAACAATAGTACACAAAAAACAACATAGAAAACTAAAGACTGAGCAACACGAACCCCACCAAAAATAGGGGGTGATCTCAGGTGCTCCGGAAGGGTAAGAGGATCCTGCTCCACATGTTGCACCCGTCGTGTTGCTTGTGTTAGTAAATAACCGATAATAAGTCTAATTCGTAAATGATTGCATCACACAGATTTTCATATCACTAAAGAAACTAGCGCAAATGTGCACAACTACTGTGCTTATGCAGATATGATATTACAAGTAACTTTTGATAAAGCAAGTATTGAACTTCGCATACCTGTCGGAAAAGGGTAGTTTACGTATTTATGTACCAAAGTCGACTATTGCATACACTACATTGTGTTCAGGTGTTTTTCAATTTGGACTATACAAAGCAATCGAAACAAAGATATCAGTTATTGTAAATAGCAGCCGTTCTCGGAAGGGAACGCTGAAGTAAACTGACTAGATTTGAGAAATTTTCAATTTCATTAAATGAAGTACAATAAGTGTTACTCTTAGAAACATGTGAAAAAACTTAAACAAGAAAACTTACGGGCAATCGTATAAAAAAAACCATTTAAGGTGGTACCTTACACTACATGGAGATAACTCTGTAAAAATCAGCTAAACGTTTTAATCACGTTGTATTGTTAAGGAAATATTAAGCTTCTCAATGATCAAAATTAGTGTTTGTTAAACTGCTATATAACCAATGAAAATTTTTTCTGATAAAGTGGTTGGTTCAAATTTTTTGAAATTTTTATATTTTTGTCAAAGGGTCAAAGTAAACATTTTGTCAAAATTTTATGAAAATTAAACGAGATAAATTAACATTAGTCAAGGTGTTGGGTACCACCTTAATACCGAAAAAAACCGACGGACATGAACCAACGACATCTACGATACTAAAGGCTAATAACTTGGAACAGGCACACAAAGAATGGGGTTGGGTTTTTGAGCGTTCAACCTCCTCTAACCCGGGACGATGGTGCAACAGCACAACATAAGAACAACCTGTAGTTGGACTGTTGGAAATTATTAGGATGTTATAATTTTGAGGAAATTTATTTGGAGATGTAGCGACAACAATCATAAACACTGTGAACAAATAACAAATCAGAACCCGAAAACGCAAACATAATCTGGCAGCAATAAACCAACGAAAATTGTAAACTGTTTTACAGGCGTATGAGATGGGTTGGGCACTTAAAGAGTATTAAGTAAACTATTACGATTACAATACTGTGGATACATTTATTTTCGTAGGTACCAATTTTGGTGGATTGGGAAAAAACTTGCATTTTCGTGGATATTTGTTTACGTTGTTTTTCAAAAGTATCCATACAAGCCAAAAGAAAATGTGTACTTCAATGTACATCTTAATTCGTGGTGCACCTTTTACCGCAAAATCCACGGAATTTTGTATCCAACAAATAACAAATGAATCCATAGTACTAGTAACTAAAACTTACCCAACCTTCAAACAAAGGACACTGAGGAAATACATTGCCTTGATATCTTTTAAACTCACCACAATCTGACCCTGAATATCCAGAATGACAAGAACAACTATAACCACTACCAGTGTTTGAACAAGATCCATGTGCACAAGGATTGGGGGTGCAGTAGTCATACGTATCTGAAATAAACAAGTTTACACTACATTTTTTGTAGCTTGATTCTGTAATATAAAATTAATTTCTACCTCTTTGACTTTACTGAAATTAACGTTTCAATTATTGCGTTGAATTTCCTCAAACGTTTGCAAAACAATAATTTTTGGTCGATTATGTCGGGTATCGAAAATATGGTCGTTTGGATTTTTCCAATCCGGAACTAAAAACTAGGTAAAGAATGGCATCCGTTTAATTGTAGGAGGATGTTAAATGAAATGTCTCATAAAGATAGATTACCACTATCCCTGCGCTTTGAAAAATTATCGAAAAACTGTAACTGTCCTTTAGGTTGATAGGCTAATTGTCTATTCTTCTTTAATATATATTATCTTTCTAGTGTAGTCTAAATTATTTTGCTCTTCTATCTTGTTGACCCACTTTGCTTTAGTTATACAGTTTTTTTTTCTCAAATGGTTCAGAAACTTTGTCATATACATCACTACTTGAACGTACAGAAAACTATACTAAATCAATTCATTCTAAACTCGAACTTTCTGTTTGCGGTGATTCACATCAAACTCTTAGAGAACACTAATTGTGTTCAATCGAGAAGGGTGACGACCATATCATACCCCGGATTTCACAAACCTGGAACTCCGGAAATTGGGATGTCTGTTCGATTAAGCGGGGTACATAAATACGCAACAAAGTCCGGTCGTTTTTGGGCCGTTCAGTCAAATACATAGTAAAGAAAGATTGCCACACTGGCAGCGCTTTAAAAAAGCCTTGCAAAAATTCCCAAGGGCCTTACGGTAAAATGGTTAAAGTTCGCCTCCCCTTTTATATATCCCCTTTCCTGTCAAGTTCAATTTCGGGCTCTTTATTCTAGTCAGTCTACCTTGCATAACTTGCCTATAATGTTTATTGTTCATATTTTCTCGGGAATCGTATACATGATGTATCGATCTATCAATGTATCTAGAAAATCCACGATTTTGCTGCGAAGACCTAAAATTACGGTAAAACGTTATAACGAGTGGTAATTAAATGTATTAATGTACACAATAATAACAATTTCAATAGTTATTAGGTATTCTGTAAAATATACACTGAATCAGCAATTTTGTCATATATCACTACATTCATTATGAGTTTATTATTATATAATTAAGTTCTCAAAAACTCACCACAAGATGATCCTGAATATCCAGAGTAACAAGAACACTTATAACCACTACCAGTGTTTGTACATGATCCATGTGAGCATGGATTAGGGTTGCAGTAGTCATATGTATCTGAAATACATGTGTACACCTAATTTTGGTTATCTGGATATGTCACTGTTAAATTAACAGTGACTTTTCATCTTTTCGTCGAATGACCAAAAACGTTTTCAAAACCAACACTTTTTTTCAACCGTATATGGTTTACACAAAATAGTGGCCTAGACTTCTTCAACCTGTCACTACAAACTTGATTCAGAGGAGAATCTATTTGATTGCATGTGATGTATAGATACGTATCATCGTCTTATCGTTAAGGGAACGTTACATAAAACACATCATTTAGATGTCCGCTCTCCATTTGCTTTTAAGAAGCATCGCAAAATGTTAACGGTCCTTTCCTTTGCAAGGCTTAATTTCTGTATATCTTTAATATATCCCCTTTCCAGCTGCCGTTCTAATTTCGTGAGTTGCATGTTCTAATTTCGTGAGCTGCATTCCGGTTGGCCCACTTTGCAGGGACTGCTTATTATACCAACTAAAGCTGTTTTCGGAATATGTATGCATACAGAAACCAATCTGTCACTTTATCTATAACTTTACACGATTCCGCTGCGGAGCGTAAAAGTACAGGAAAACGTTATTACAAATTCGGATTGCATGTAGGAATGAATAAAATAGATGAATACTTTCTAAGGCATTTTGTAAAGAACGGATTCAACAAATTTGTCATATATTACTATAATAATGTTCAGATAGTTATATAACATCAGTAATTTTAAACTCACCACAATCTGACCCTGAATATCCGGAGTGGCAAGAACAACTGTATCCACTGCCAGTGTTAGAGCAATATCCATGTAAACAAGGATTGGGGGTACAATAGTCATATGTATCTGGAATAAACAAGTGTACACGTTATATTGATTAAGTGTTAAGGTAAAATTACATGATAGTTATACGTTTCTTACTCGTCATTTATTAAGATTAAAATAAACTGTTACTTTTAGTCCATTGAATAGGGTCGCTTGGACTTCTTCAAAATGGCTCTACACACTTGCTAATATTCTGCTTAGTTGTTTTTCGGGATGTATAAGTATGGAGCAAAGTCAAGTCGACTTTTTGTGCTCTTTATTCCGATTGATCTTTTTTGCAGAGCCTTCCTATTATAAATAATTATTAATATGGTCGCAGCTTGCGTATAAAAGAAATACCTATTCAATTTAAAAACCCTAACACGATTCTGCTTCAAAAAAAGTATTAACAATAATACAGAATTCAAAGTAAATTAAAAAATGTGGGAAGTTCATAAAACCTGACAAAATCAAGGAACGAATGGGAAAACTGTCATTTTCCCACTTGCAATTGGGACTGCATTTTATGATAAAAGGGCGGGTTCAACCAGCGAAGCGCAAAAATTTCGGAAACAAGTTAAAACGAACTGTGATTGCATGAACGAATGAATACAATAAGGATACGAATGCATACAATAGGGATACGAATGCATACAATAGGGATACGTTGTAAGACATTTTGTAAACCGATTTTGAAAATGTGTCATATATTATTATATTCATGTTGAATTTACTATATGAAATCAAGTTCTCCCATACTCACCGCAAGATGACCCTGAATATCCGGAGTAACAAAGACACTTATAACCACTGCCAGTGTTTGTACATGATCCATATAAACAAGGATTTGGGTTGCAGTAGTCGTATGTATCTGAAATAGACAGTTGTACAATTAATTTTATTTGTAAGGTTATGTAAATGTAGTTTGAATATATAAATGTCTAATATAAATGACATATCCAGATAACAAAAATTGACTTTTCTGTTTTTTTACCCTAAATGTTTGCAAAACAATCATTGTTGTTCGATCGATTAGGGTATTAAACATACGGTAGCATTGAATTCCTCTATCCGGCAATAAACACATGCTTAAAAGGGACTTTTGTTTGATTGTGCGGGTGTATAAAACGCAGCAATGTTCATTCAGAAAAGGGACTTTGATCAAATACTTCACACAGAGAGGTGGCTGTTAAAAATCGGTTTCATAGATGACGTCGGATATGTTCCAATTGTCGTAACCTCAATCCCGTCCTCTTTTCCCCAAATGCGACCTACCGAATTAGACTTGTCACCGGGTTTGTATTTACATGAGCAACACGACGGGTGACACATGTGGAACAAGTTAGACTTACCCTTACGTCGGATCCGAGTCCAACCCCCTTTTTCTTTGTGTAGTTAGTGTTGCTCAGTCCTTTGATTTCTATGTTGTGTTTTGTGTACGGATTTTTATCGTTTGGTCTTTTGATCTTTTTTTTTGCCATGGTGTTGTCAGTTTATTTTCGACTTATGAGTTTAAATGTCTCTTTGGTATCCTTCAATCTCTTTCACTCTTTTCGACAGTAAAAAGATGTAAGAAGCTTTTGGTCAAAGCATACAGTTAATATCAGTTTTAATGATTTGTAATGTATTTTGAAAAAAAATGGATTAATATCATTGTCATATATTACAATATCGATGTGCAGGTTACTCTATATTTTCGAATTCTGCCATACTCACCACAATCTGACCCTGAATATCCGGAGTAACAAGAACAACTATAACCACTGCCAGTGTTTGTACATGATCCATGTGTACACGGGTTGGGGTTGCAGTAGTCATATGTATCTAAAAATACATGTGTACACTTAACATGCCAAGTTTTGGTTATATGGTTAGGTACAAGAATATTGTATAGTTAATTTTGACTTTTTGGACTATATTAATTTTGGCTTTTTAACTTTGAGTCGTCTAACCTTAAACTTGTATTGTTATAGGAAATGGGAACCTGGACTTCTCCGATTACAAAATAGAAAACAAGCATTACAACCCCTTCCAAAGAAGGGCGTCAGTTTGATTGTTAGGGTTTTATAATTATGCACCATCCTCAACGACTATCAAAAATGGGGATGTTTTACCCCATTTCTCATTGAGAGTAAGTATACAATAAGCCTTACTAAAGCTCTGATCACCCACTTGTTAACCAGTTTGACCTGGAACTGTCATTTTGATCTGAACACCTTTTGAAAGACTGAACAAAACATTATTTTTGGTTTTTTTCAGACTTATCCACAGCCGTTAATTCAGTGATATTCAGAAAATGTGCTTGCAGTCGATTAAGATCTTTTTTTGTAAACAGTGGTCAATATTCAGACTGTTCATAATGTAATTTACCTGTTCACATTAGAACAAAAATGAATTGTCTGAGGAGCTACTTCCCAGTACTGAATTGACTGAAAGCGAATTGAATAAACAGTCCTGAATTTACTGCAGTGGATAAGTTTGCAAATTGATAGATAAGACTGAATAGAACTGAATAATTTATTGGTTAGATTATTCAAATGATGCAAGGATCAACATGATCTAAATTTCATTTACTTATGGGTGCCTGTAGTCTGCAAGGCTAAATGTTTGCTCCTACCCGACATATCCCCTTTAGACTTGCAGAACAAAATATGTCATGATCTTCATCCCGGTCGGTTCTTTCTGCTAATTTTACTAATAAAATTAATTGTTCTATGTTGTTACTGCTGCAAATAATTAAACTCTCAAACCACCAATGTATCTATGAAATTAAACTATTCGATTGTAAAGCCCACAAAATAAGGGAAAACGTATTTACTCTTATGAATGTACACAATTTTTAACGATTTTAATAGGTTGTAGAGTATTTACGAAACGCATTTCTCAATATGTCATTCATGTGTAGACTATTACATTCCGTCAATTTCTTTATAAAAATTATTCATCA